AAATCATTTAAGAAAATGTTGCCTGAAGTAAAGTGTGCCGGAATTCATAGGGAAACAAAAGACGGGAACAAGCACCTTAATTTCTCCTTCATCGGAGCCATCACCAGCCCTCAACCAGAGATTACTAAAAGTTATCAGTGAAATTAAATTAAAAAGAAAAAAAAAAGATAAAGATAAATGAGTGGGTAGAGAACAGAGAAGTATATATGTATGTGTAAAGGGTGGAAAACTGAACAAGATGAAGATGAAAGAGAGAGAGAGAGAAAGCGTACAAGAACCAAAGAGCGGCTGCCTCCCGAGCCAGACGCCGAACCGGCCGACGGTCGCCACGTGGGCCTTGAGATTTCTGCTTCGGACGGCAAGAGTGATGATGATAGGAGCGGATGGGAGTGCGAGTGTGTGTGTGTGTTGAATTTGTGAGCCACGCGCTGCGTTTTTTATCGGTTTGTAGATAAAATCAGATATTCGGTTTTGCTATGAAGTCAACAGTTAGTTCCATAGTAGAGCCAACCTTCTATATACAACAAATAAATCTATCATATTAATAAAGTTATATTAGTGTTATTTAAGTAATCGAATAATATGATATATAGAAAGTTGACTTCACTATGGAGCCAACTGTTGACTTCGTAGCAAAACCGATCAGATATTTATTTTATTTTATTCTTTAGATGCTATAAATAATTGGGATTTTGCTTTATCCTTTGGGGGGAGTTGGGGTGGGGCCCACGTATAGGGGGGAGGATTTTGCACGCAATGTCTCGTGGGAATTTGGAGGGTTGCGTGGGGTTTAGTTTGTTTAAGTATCACTAATTAATTAAATTAATCAATCATTATAAAAGAATTGGTGTAATTAATCACCATTATATTTTGGCAGTAGGTAAAAGAGATATTCGCCCAAACCATTACTCAATTTTCATGTTTATTATGAGAAACACTCTAAAGAATGTGATTTGATGATCCAATTAAAAAAAATTAATTGAAATTCAAATTTAATTTAATTTTAATTCAAACACATTATGTTCAATATTATCTATACAATTAAATAATATTAATCAATTATCCTTACAAATTTCTTCAACTTTATTTCATTATTCATTCACTCGCATACTTTTAATTAATCATTACTTCACATCATATATCTCCGACTTTTATATCAAATTGATATGGTCAGTACCCGTTACTCGACAGGATAGTGAGTCGAGTAACCTGCTTGTCGACTTAAGCCAACACATCTCTGGTCGAGCCTCTAGATTGATAAGGTAGAAAAAGTCGATATCCATATGTCGACTCTTTGTACTGCCACTATAGGGGAAGTCAACATCCAGAAGTCGATCTCCTTGGCCATCTAAATCCAGGACGACTAACCCAAAGTCGGCATCTAGTAAGAAGATGGGAATCGAGGTCGACTGACTCAAATCGACTCCCATTAAGAAGACGAGGATGATTCAAGGACCAACGATAGAGCCTCCCAACATTCCTGTGTGTGAACCCTAAGTCGACCTATTGCCACTTGAGGTCGACTTCTTACACCTCCCGAGTATATGACGATAAATCACTTCACGAACTCGAGCTGATTCACTGGATAAGGATGAATTTCCATTGGATAAGATGGAATATCAAGCTGACTCAGATATGACCAAGAAGTGATTAGGATGAAAATAGACCGGACGACCGAGCTGGTCGACCAAGGGCGTTTTGGGTACTTCAAAGCAGGTAGTTCCCCTATAAAAGGGACTGAGTTAACTTCAAACCCTAACTTTTACACACTCTATTCATTTTCCATCTTCCTCATGTTGTTCCCCCTCAGCAGAGCACTTTCATCTCTTTTTATATTGACTTGAGCGTCGGAGACTCTACGCCGAAACCACTTCCGACGTTGAATTTTTGCAAGTGTTCGAGGCGATTTGGAGGCGATTCGAACAGATCGGTACTTATCTTAACAGGTTCACTCCAGATCTAGGAGAAGACACATCACAAATAAACTTTAATTATTTTATTTTATAGAGTTTTAATGTAAACTTAAACTCCTAACAACTAAACATGTCATCATTTTCAAAATCAACTATGTTCAAAACCAATCAAATCAATATCCAATCACATCCTAAGGTCACCATTGTGCGCATGGCCGACCAAATTTAGTTGCTCGCATGTAACATGTTATAATATTAATATGTGTATTCAATATTTTGGAAATATAGTTGCTCAATAAACTACACCATATATTCACAATATTTTGCCTTTTAGGTTTCAAGTTCCAACCTAAATTTGTCAAAACATGTTCCGAACAGTTATCATCGACCACATTAGCTAATTATATTATATGTCTAACAAACATTAGTAATTAGACATTACTGATGGTGCAGATATATGAGATACCGAGTGTAACACCCCGCTAGCTTACTAAAATCAGAGTGCGATTTTCGCACATTCTTTACTAAAGTTCACGTTTTAGTTTGCGAAACATATCTCGGGATGCTACATAAAACATTTCTTTACTAAAAAAATTCGTTAACTTTAAACCCATTTATGAAAAACGAATTATCTTTCATAAAACAAGCGTGTGATACTGTATACAACTTGACCCGAAAGTTCGGATCGTCGTCTGAAAATTTACACGCTAGTTTGAAAGTCTGAAAACGTCAGCAGAAGTAAAAACGTGGCAAATATATACATGTCAACAGTCTGCAAAAATATATACATATTTACATGTACTGGACCGGCGACCACCAGCTCCACTCACTCCTTCGGACCGACCCT